GATCTGCGCATACTTATATGGGAGCAACTCTGCCTCGATGGGAAAATTGGTATACGGATTCCACTCTAAATTCTGGAAATTAAAGTGGATTTTTTTTATTTTGTGGTGAAACTGACACTGCGCATTGAGCACCATTGGTGGAGATGTGCGCATTATAAATCCTTATTATTATTATTAATATTATTATTATTTTAAATAGTTTTTTCTTCAATTTGAATATATTTCATCATCATAATGCAATACCTACCATATGAGCGACGCTTTAGCAACTCCATTCTTAAGAAACATCCACCATCAGAACACTGACTCACATGAAGTTTCACATATTGAGCTGTTATTCCATTTTGGAACATGTTGATTTTACGATCATATCTTGTTGTAACATCAGATCTGAATGTCTGGGAATATTTAACACAAAGACGAGTATTAATATGACTGTTCGAGCACTGCATCTACCAAAATTAGATTATAGGAAACGGAGTAGAGTTTGTAGAGCATTATTTACTGAATAATTCTAACTCTCCTTAAGCTGATGAAAACCTGACAAAATGACTTTTGAAGTCTTGAATAAAACGAACGAGTGTTGAATTTACGTACACATATATAATCAGCGGAAATGTAATCAATGGAAATGTCAGTATTGCTTTTCTACTCTCTCATAATTCATTTAGTAGAGTGTAGTTGCGGCTAAAGTCATTGGAGTCCTAATTATAGACTATGGTCAATATAATGTCAACAACCACAGGTATACGTCTAGCCCTACCTCATTCCCGGTCGCATCAACGGCAAATACAAACTCGGAGAATCCGGAATCATTACTTAATCTCAGTCTAAACGCTGTAACCCATCCATCTCGTACCACGTTTTTAGTTCCATCGCCTTGAGTTATGATTCCATAGACATTTTCTCTTCGACCTAGATCTACACTAATCCATGGGTTAGAGTCGTCCGGGTCATTATGCCAAGATGTTTCACCATTTAAACGTGCTCTTTCAGGCGTGTGTTCACCATCATCGGATGATGCTTCGAAAGCGTTGTTATGTATTTTGCCTTCATATTCGAGTCCAATGTACTCATACTGGTTCATGAAATATCCTACAATTGAAGAAAATAATTTATTCAAAAATACATTATCTACTTCTTTGGATATGAATGTTGATGGTCAAATATATAAATGGAATGAAATGAATTACTGTATAGTTCCAACATTTTTAAGAGGCTTGTCAAAATTGGCAATAGTGGTTAATTAAAAGAACAAATAATAACAATGATGATAAATATTAATAATAATAATACAATTTCGCGATTTCTTTGTATGTAAAAACCAGATGAATTTTTTTGAAGTAATAATACTTATAGTAATGTTAATAATAATAATAATAGAACAAAAATAAATAACAATAATAATAATAATAATAATAATAATAATAATATAAAAATAATAATGTTCATCATTCGACATTAATAAGTTAATATTCCGGTAATCGTGTATATGAACCAAAAAGCGAAACAGTTTAATTATTAAAATATTATCTGTGTTGAATGGTAATTAACCTCAACCAGACGAATTGAAATAAAATTAAAATGTTCAACAACATGTTTGATTAGATTTTGTTACTATTTAGTTTTGTGTCACGCATGCATTATGGTAAAATTAATCTAAACTATGGTACAAATAATTATTTTTAAATTAAACATTTTTACTTTAAATGGTCCCCAAAATATAATTACATTACCTGATGATCCTTCATCCGATGCACTGCTTGATCCACCACCCGATTCACTTCTTGACACTCCACCTGATGCACCTCTTGATCCACTACCTGATGCACCTCTTGATCCTTCACCCGATTCACTTCTTGATCCTTCACCCGATTCACTTCTTGATCCACTACCTGATGCATCTCCTGATCCACTACCTGATGCATCTCCTGATCCACCACCCGATGCACCTCTTGATCCACTACCTGATGCACCTCTTGATCCTTCACCCGATTCACTTCTTGACCCTTCACCCGATTCACTTCTTGATCCACTACCTGATGCATTTCTTGATCCTCCACCCGATGCACCGCTTGATCCACTACCTGATGCATTTCTTGATCCACCACCCGATGCACCTCTTGATCCACTACCTGATGCACCTCTTGTTCCTTCACCCGATTCACTTCTTGACCCTTCACCCGATTCACTTCTTGATCCACTACCTGATGCATCTCTTGATCCACCACGCGATGCACCTCTTGATCCTTCACCCGATTCACTTCTTGATCCACTACCTGATGCATTTCTTGATCCTCCACCCGATGCACCGCTTGATCCACTACCTGATGCATTTCGTGGTCCACCACCCGATTCACTTCTTGACCCTTCACCCGATTCATTTCTTGATCCACTACCTGATGCATTTCTTGATCCTCCACCCGATGCACGGCTTGATCCACTACCTGATGCATCTCTTGATCCACCACCCGATGCACCCCTTGATCCACTACCCGATGCACCTCTTGATCCTTCACCCGATTCACTTCTTGATCCACTACCTGATGCATCTCTTGATCCACTACCCGATGCACCTCTTGATCCTTCACCCGATTCACTTCTTGACCCCTCACCCGATTCACTTCTTGATCCACTACCTGATCCATCCCTTGATCCTTCACCCGATTCACTTCTTGATCCACTACCTGATGCATCTCTTGATCCACTACCTGATGCATCTCTTGATCCTTCACCCGATTCACTTCTTGATCCACTACCTGATGTACCTCTTGATCCTTCACCCGATTCACTTCTTGACACTCCACCCGATGCACCTCTTGATCCACTACCTGATGCATCTCTTGATCCTTCACCCGATTCACTTCTTGACCCTTCACCCGAT